CGACAGGGGCAAGAAGGCTCGGGAGCAGCAGCAGTGTGGCAGAAGGGGTCTGGTGTGTGCTCTGTGTCCCCTGCACTGTGGGTCAAACACACTCGAGACTCAAACAAGATGACCGTGTCGTCAGAACCGGCCCCTCCGGCCCCGGTGTCCACCCCCTCACCCACCCTCTGAATCCCCAACACCGAGGCCCCCCAACCCGTCCACGCCTTCTCCTGTCGCCTGGGCTTGGCGTGTGGGGTCTGTGAGCTTGGCCGAGGTAGTCAGTTGCTCATACTGACCCAGCCTGTCTGTGTGAGGCCATGCAGCTGAACCTGTGATCCGGCACAGCGGAGGCCCAGGCCATGGGTCCTGGGGAGCACACGGGATGCCACCTCCCCAGTCGCCCTGTCTGGGCGCCTCCCGGACTCATGGCTAACTTTGTCCCGGTCTCCCCACCCCTCTCCTTTCCACCCCATGATTTTCCCACTGCTGCCACCAGGGTCTTGTCGCTGAGGTGGGGATCTGGGGGCGCGATCCCGGCATGCCTTCCTGGCCAGGGTTCTTCCTCCAGGGTCATCTGGAAGGCACAGTTTGGCCAGCTTGTACAGGGAGCGCAGGCCGCCTCTGCTCTCGGGCCTGGCCTCAGGGACTGACCCCAAAGCCCCCCAGATGTTCCCCAGAGTGACCAGGGCCAGCTCAGCAGCCCCTGGCACGCACATGGGCTTCTCTCCTCGGTGCCAACCTCACCCTGCGCCTCTGCCAGGGGAGTGGCTTCACTCAGTCGCCAGTGCTGAGGAAAGGAAGGCCTGTGCCAGCTGCCATTCCCAGTGCAGGTTAGAGCCCCTGCCCAGAAGCCTTCCTTTGCCTCCTTCAGGAGTTCATGCTCACGCCCAGGGTCTCCGTCCTTGGAGCCTGCGCCCCACCCATCAGTCTCCCTCCTGCGGTGTCTTCGGGATGGGGCTGCGGTCCTACTCAAATACATGCCAAGTCCCTTTCCTGCTCATCGACCTCTGGGATGCAGAGCAGCCCGCCTTCCCTGGGCAGGGATCCCTCTCTACTGTCCACACACGGTTCTCCATGTGTTTGAAGACTCCCTTGCAAGCTGCTGGCGTGCAACAAAGTCCAGTCTCCTGTACGGACCAGGGTTACTGAGAGCATGAGCTCTACACACATGCACATGTGTGCAGATATATACACACATACACAGTTCTACATCCATGTTTTTTCCATATGGACATCTAGTTGTTCCAGAACGATAGTCATTGAAAAGACTATTCTTTCCCCCATTGACTTGTCTCGTCACCCTTCGTGACTATCAATGGGCCAGATATGTGTGTAGGTCTACTCCTGCACTTCCAATCCAGTTTCGGGTATCTATGTGTCTACCCTGGCACCAATTCCACCCTGTCTTGATTACTGTATATTTAGACTAAGTCTTGACATTGGGCCATGTTAGTCCTTTAACTTTGTTCTTCAAAATTCTTGTGGCTGTCGTAGGTTCTTTGTATTTCTGTATAAATTTTTAAATCAGCTCATCAATTTTTACAATGCCTGCTGGGATTTTGACTGAATCTATAGATCAGTTTGGGGAAAAATTGACATCCTAATATCTTCCACAATTGGAAGAACATGAACATGGTATACTTCTACATTTATTTAGATTCTCTCCAATTTCTCTCATTGTTTTCATGTATAGGTCTTTCCTGTGCCAAGGAGCTTCCCCTGCAGCTGAGCCACAGTGTCCCCCTCAAACATCCTGGGGTGCAGACTGTACGTTCTTATGGGGCCCTGTTCTCTCTGAGCACCTGGAAGGCTATAACCAGGCTTGAGCCGGGGCCTGACCTGGGGGCTCCAGAATGCTCCTTGTCCCCACCCTACTGCCAAACTTCCCGTGTCATCTGCACCTGCCCTGGATCCCCTCCTCCTCAGCTGCCCTGTCCTGCGCCCGCCCCGAGCGGCCGAGGCGGCAGTGCCTTACTGCTCCATTTCTTCTGCCTCCCCTGAGGAATCTGGCCCCGCCTCATGGTCCCAGACCTCAATTCTCTCTTCAGTTGCGTGAGTTTTCCTTTGCTCCTGTAATGTGTTTTCCTAATTAAGTGTTGGGAAACTGGAGTCGGCGTGTGGCGTTGTCTTTGGGACAGGTCTGTCGGACCCTGGATGAGCTGGACTCCCGTTATGTGAGAAAGGGTAACTCACTGCAGGGTTCCCGAGGATTTCAGGAGGTGCAGGGCCATGTCCAGCCCATCAGCACATCCTGGTGGCTCTACCTTCAAGATACATTCAGAATCTGCTTCCTGCTCCTCACCTCCACCCAGGTCTAAGGCGCCATCGTCCCTCACCTGGGTGCCGGTCTCCCTGCTTCTGGCCTGGCTCCCTCCAGCCTATTCTCAGCATCCGAGGCAGAGAGATCCTGCTAAGATACAAGGTGGATCGTGTTGCTACACTGTTGTTTAAAACCCTCTGGTGGTTTCGATCATATGAATTGGGCAGCTCCTTACTGTCCCGGTGTAGTCTCCAACATGATGCACCAACCAACCTCACATCCTAACCTGTTAAAGCAGGGCGAAAGAGGGAAGCCAGGGCAGGTGGGGAGCGTTCTGAGCCAAGAGAATGACATTTAAAAAGACTTGGGTGATAGGGGGATCATGGTCTGATCAGTGGCAAGTTTGTCTGGGGCTACTCTGTGCCAGGCTGGCACTGTTCTAGGAGCTGGGGATAATGCAGGGGAGGCGGGATGCAATTTTTAATACGGTGGCCAGAAAAGCCTTTCTGAGGGGGTGACATTTTTAAAACTTTTGTCTCAGAATAACACGGGAGTACAAATGTTCTCGTTTCATAAATTGCTTTTGTACCATTTTAGTCAAAGTTGTAAGTGTGCCCATAACCCAGATAGTACGCATTGTACCCATTGAGGTGACATTTGAGGAGCACCTGAAGGAGGTCAGGGGGGGAACCAGGTGAAACCCGGAGGCAATAGCTCCAGACGGGAAAGGCCAACGCGAAGGCCCTGAGGCAGGAGTGGGCCTGGTGTGTTTCTGAAAGGGCGAGGAGGCCAGTGGGGCTGTTGGATTGAACAAGGGGGAGAGTGGGAGTGGATGAGACCGGAGAGGAAATGGGCCACACTGGATTTTGTAGGCCACTGTAAGGGCGTGGCTTTGACTCCGAATGGGAGGGGAGCCCATTTGAGGGTTTTGAACAGAGGCCTAACTGGGGTTTTAAAGCAGTCCAGCAGCTTCCGCAGTTCATCTGTGAGGCCAGGGCGGCAGGCTGATTCTAGTCTTTGCTGGGACATGGAGGGACAATCAGACCAAAGTCTGGTGTACTATAGTATAGATCAAGAGCTGCAGACAGAGAGAACCCTGTGCGCCTACAGAAGGGCCCCTTGGAGCATTCAGCAGACCGCTGATCAGCACCATGCACATGTGGGGAACTACCCTAGGCCTGGGAAAGGGCCACCAGACAGGGTTAAAGGTAACTATGCTCAGTGTCCAAGGAGGACCAGGAAGATCACTTTGTCCTTACTGCCAGAATTTAAAAAAATCTCCTACTGCAGGAACACTCGGAAGGATCTTGCCTCAGTAGTTGGGAAATAAATTAGTCCTACACTAGAATCTGCTGTGGTTTCACCTAGCAATGAAAAAAAAAAAATCTCCTAATTCCAGTGGCATTGGGCAAGTCACTCAGAAGTAGCTTACCTCAATAGTGTGGGAAAAATTAATCCTACACTAAAAACTTCTCCCTACACTAAAAATCCTACACTAAAAAGCAAAGAATGTAAAGTATTAAACTGTTTTCAGGTGACCTGACAGCATTCAAGAACAAAGCTCAAGAATACGCTTAGGAATACAAAAATATACAGTACCCGCTCAAGGCAAAATACACAATGTCTGCAATCCTTTAAAAAGTACTGGGCATGCAAAGAATCCACAAATCCAACCCATCATGAAGAGAGAAATCAATCAGTGAAAGGCACCTAGACTGGAAGAGGTAGAACTTTCTTTATCTGTGGGCAACATGATTGCCCGTGTAGAAAATCCAGTGCAATCTACAGAAGTGACTGTAATAGAACTCATTGGTGAATTTAACAAGATTGCAGCATATTTTAGAGGGAGCTATCTCCTCTTGCTCAAATACTTAACCAATTGTGCCAGCACTTTTCTTCACTGATCTGGAATAAGGCAAGTGTGCCACAGATTTCCGATTCTAGTGTTTCCGTGATGTTTCCTCTTCTCACGCAAAATAAGTATTTTATTTTGGCAGGAAGTTAACCCAACGGTGACAAGGATACTGGCAAACCAGAATTCTGGTGGGAGAGCACATCTTCTGGAGAGCCACTGTGAAGTGTAGATCAAGAGTCTTTTAAGTTTGTGAAGGATTTTTGAAAGGAAAAGCTTATATGTCAACCGAAAAAAAAAAAATCAGGAAAAAGGTAATGTTAAAATTACAAAATTAAGCTATACGTTCATATGATATATATTATATATATATAATAATATATATATTATATTTTGAGACAGAGTCTCGATTTGTTGCCCAGGCTAGAGTGAGTGCCGTGGCGTCAGCCTAGCTCACACCAACCCCAAACTCCTGGGCTCAAGCAATCCCGCTGCCTCAGCCTCCTGAGTAGCTGGGACTACAGGCATGCGCCACCATGCCCGGCTAATTTTTTCTATATGTTAGTTGGCCAATTAATTTCTTTCTATATATAGTAGAGACGGGGTCTCGCTCTTGCTCAGGCTGGTTTCGAACTCCTGACCTCGAGCAATCTGCCCGCCTTGGCCTCCATTCATATGATTTTTATGCATTTACTGTATAAATACAAATTTAAAGCTATAATAAATTTCAAAATGGCAAGACCCGATGCTTTTCATTTTCTTCCGTTGCCTAAATTGTCTTCAATTACATTGTACTATTTCAGTATCTGAAGCCCAGAACCTCCCCTCCAACCCTAGGACAAAGGATGAAAATTAAGGTTGTGTAGCTGAAAAGAAGGTCTGACACAGAATCATAGTTCAGTTTTATTTTCTGCAATAACAAATATTTACTCATCTCCCTGCACCAGCAACAGGGAAACAAAACAAGTGGGCCCCGAGCACCGAAAGAAGAGTATAGGCAAAAAGTTAGGCTCTGACAATAAAGTGGCAATTAATCCAGGAATCAATGCCCTAGGAAAGGATGCATTGTCTGGCTCGGGACACAAGGTTGCATATCATCCCCCTTTTCCTGGCAGAGAGTTAGGACACAACAGGGGCCCAAAGCGCCTCATGGTCCGCAACATCAGAGAAAGTTGGTCAAGAAAGGAGATAAAGGAAATTCGGAGGAGATGAGCATCTTCAGCGGTCCATCTACTAAAAGTGAGGGAAAATGAAAACCAAGTTAGCAATAAGAACTCCTACCTACGCCCTGTACACCGCCCCTCTTTTTTTTTCTTTTTCTTTTCTTTTCTTTTTCTTTTCTTTTTTTTTTTTTTTTTTGAGACAGAGTCTTGCTCTGTTGCCCGGGCTGGAGTGCCGTGGCGTCAGCCTAGTTCACAGCAGCCTCAAACTCCTGGGTGCAAGCAATCCTCCTGCCTCAGCCTCCCGAGTAGCTGGGGCTACAGGCATGTGCCACCATGCCCGACTAATTTTTTCTATATAATTTTAGTTGGCCAATTAATTTCTTTCTATTTTTAGTACAGACTCTTGCTCAGGCTGGTCTTGAACTTCTGACCTTGAGCGATCCTCCCACCTCGGCCTCCCGGAGTGCTAGGATTACAGGCGTGAGCCACCACGCCCAGCGGCCCCTCTTTTTTTGACCTAATGCTTAGGTGTCTCCCTGTCTCCATTACAGTGCTGCTCCATCTGAGCACCTATCGCCACACCTCCACCCCCCCAGCTCCTTCTAGAACTGACACAATCAGGAGGCTGCCATTCACTGTGAACTCCTTATGAATGGCCTGCTGGTGGGGTTCCTCATAAGGAGCCAAGGATCTTCGAGCAATCTCCGCCTCCAAGGGAGACGGGAAAGGGACTGTGAGAGTGCTGGAGGAGAAATGGTTAAGGCATCATCCACTACTGGCTTTACTTGTCCCTCAAGCCTCCTTAACCCTCTAGGGCCACTTCCCCCCAGGCAGCTGTCAGGCTATCCCCGCATGCACCCAGTCATCTCAGATCCTGGCCCCTGGCCCTGTCCATCTCCTCAGTCTGACCCTCAGGTCATCCACGTCTACTGCACTCAGTCTCCTCAGCCTGGCCTACTCCCTCTGCCCTCTCAGACCTGTTTCTCCACCTCCTGCATTCTCAGGCCATCCATACGCCCTCTCCTGTCCCCTCAGGCCATCCTGGCCTTCCTCCTGCTCCCCTGTGGTCTTTCCCTTCCAGGTGTTATTGGTCCCTGCCCTGCTCCCCTACCTGTACCCTGCTCTGCCCCACCCCTTATACCTCTCTGGTCTCCCCTGGCCTCCCTAGCCAAAGCTGGATACTCTTAAAGGATACAATTCATTTAGTTGGATTCCTGGCCTTCTGTCTGCAGGCACAGGCTCTGCACCTTGCCCTCGAGCAGGGACACAGGAAATGCTTCCAGCATTGGAACCCGCCACACGAGCGCCACCTGCTGCGCCCGCGCCACCCTGGCCATTGGGGTCGCCCTGACCATCACGGCTTCCGCCCTGACCATCACGGCTTCCATCACGGCCCCTCTGGCCTCCTGTGCCTCCCGCTGCGCCTGCGTCTGGGGCCGGCATGGCTGCTCGCTTCTCCCTCAGAGCCCACCGGGAAGCCAGCCGCCCTGCCCGACAGCAGCTGAGGCGCTCAGGCTCCCGCACGACGCTCCGCCCCTTCTCCCGCAATGCACCGCGGGATGGCCACTGCGCCGGCGCACTCGGGCTGCATGCGGTCGTTTCCCGCCAAGCCCGCCCTGCCGCCTGCGCGCCCCTCTCGGGCTGGTAGTCGGGGCTGCGGAGACTGAGGCGACCTCGCGAGGTCCCGCCCGCCGCTCGGCACGAGAGGCGCCTCCCCTGGTGAGGCCTTCTGGAACGTGGTTAGTTCCCGCCAAACTGGCCCTAAGGGTGTGCAGATGCCAGCCTAGCCAACATTACGTATAACCAGCCTTCCCTGAACCTCCCTTTCCTAGACAGCAGGCCTAGTGTGCCCCTGCCCCTTCGTGGAAGCCTGGAGGACATGCATACCGCACAGAGAACTCGGGCAAGTGAAGACTAGGGGGGAGGTTGGGCCTCTCGACAGGGCAAAAACGATCAGGTGTAGCTGGGCTAGACGTGGGACCTGCCCAACGCACTTGGCTCTCTAGAGCTGAGTGAAGGGTGGCTGAGCATGAGATACGATGATGTGAGAAGGTGCCAGGGGCTGGCTGTCCCAGGCTGGAGGGCCAGCCTCAGGAGCTTGGACTGGATAATGTCGGTGGTGGGGGGGCCGTTGTAAGTTCATGGTCTGAAGGAAAGGACTAATGGTAAAGGTCGCCTTCAGGTCTTCTCTATGTGTAGGCAGTGTTTCTCCATAGGTCTCTATGCCAAGTCACACACTACTACATAGTATTTGCACCACACAGATACAGATGTAAATAACCTCAAAAGCATAGATATCAATAAAATGTAGTAAAACAGTTAGAAAATAATCCATTTTATATTCATCACCTTTGTTTTCAATATAATTTTAGTAATGGCAGCAATTAACGAGCTCCCAAATCTCTGACAATTTAACAATTATCTCTCAGGAGCCCACATGACCCGGCTCCAGCACATCAATTCTTATTGATCTCTCTTTCCTACCCACACCTGTCTAGACAGTTCTTTCATTAACTGCTCTTCAGATAAATATGTTAGAATGTGCTATTTCCTGCTGTGCCCTAACACTCCAAGGGTAGATGCAGGCATCTTAGAAACTATGTGAAGGCATCTTCATCTTCATGTATCAGTTGAGGTTTGTTCCCAGATACCATAAACCTCTCTGGCTAGTTTTGCCCAGGAAATTTAACACAGAGAACCAGTTGCTTACAAAATCATTTAAAGAGCTGGAAGAATGGAATGTAGGCTGACGCTCTGGGAATGACTCCCACAACACCACAGAACTGACCTGCTGAGGGAGCTGGTACCCATGCCATAAGAGGAAGGTAGAGAATCAGGAGGCTACTGGCTCCACCTTTGGTTCTGAGAACATATCACCCTTGCTATGATTCAAGTACCAGGAATTTCCGTTTCTTAAGTATTGGTTCCAGAGATACTGTTCAGGCGCTAGATCAGAATAGGCCATAAGAAAGGGTGCCTTGAAACCAGTGGTGTACTAGTAACAGTGGGCTCTCGAGAGGCAGGGAGGAGCCCTGCCTGATTCGTGGCATTTGCTGATTTCCATGGTGTACACATGCCCGTCACAGCTGGTTTCAAGTTATCAACATAATATCTCTGAGGTTGAGTTGTGAAGACATGCTCCCAATGGGCTGTCACCAGCAGGTACAAGCTGGCCCTAGCACACCACTGCTTGCATCTGCCTTGCACCACACACAGGAATCTCATCTAATGCTGACACAGAAACGTGAGTCTCTGTGGCTTGCAGAGAGGGCCTCCTCACTTTGCCTTCAAAATTAAGTGCTAGTGCAACTAATTGGCCAAATCTAGACGACATCTAGAACGTTACTTCAAAAGGAGCAAGGAAAATGTAGTTTTTATTTCTCCAATATCTGTTGTTTAAAAAGGCTCACTAGACGATGGTGGGGTCGGATGGTGAGGAGCCAGACCACAGAACGCACCACAGTCCTCCCTTGGGTTCATATACTTTTGAAACGTAATGATAGCCAACACTTACTATGTTTCAGATGCTGTTTCAAGTGCTTTTTATATATATTAATCCATTGCTGGATTGGCACCTTTGTCAAAAATTGTTTAGCCATAGATGTATGGGTTTATTTATGGACTCTCAATTCTATTCTTTTGCTTTATATGTCTGTCCTTATGCTAGCACCACGCAGGTTTGTTATAGTAGCTGTGTAGTAGGTTTTGAAATTGGGAAGTCTTTCAACTTTGTTCTTCTTCTTCTTCTTCTTCTTCTTCTTCTTTTTTTTTTTTGAGATTGTTTTTGCTACTTGGGGCCCCTTGCAATTCCATATGAATCTGAGGATCAGCTTTTCCGTTTCTTCAGTAAAAAAAAAAAAAAATTGACAGTGATTGCATTACATTTGTAGATTGTTTGGGGTAGTATTGACCACTTAACAATATTAAATCTCCCCACTCATGAACACAAGAAGTCTTTCTATTTATTCAGGTCAGTCTTTAATTTCTTTTAGCTATATTTTGTAATTTTCAGTATGCAAGCCTTTCACCTCCTTGCTTAGCTTTATTCCTTGGTGTTTCATTCTTTTAGATGCTATCTGAAATGGAATTTTTTTCTTGATTTCCTCTTTAGGTTGCTCACGGCAGGTGCATAGAAACACAATTAAGTTTGGCATGTTGATCTTTTACCCTGAAACACCGCTGAATTTGTTTATTAGCTACAGTAACTTTCACATGAATTTTTTTTGGATTCTGTATACATAAAATCACGTTATTTGTGAACAGAGATAGTTTTACTTTTTTTCTTTCCAATGCGAATGCTTTTTATTTCTTTACTTTTTTTCCCCCAAACTTACTCTGGCTCAAACTTCCAGTACAGTGTTGAAAGCAGTAATGAAAGCAGTCATCCTTGTTTTGTTCCTGATCTTAGGAGGAAAGTTTTCAGTCTTTCACCATTAATATGTTAACTCTGGACTTTTCATGGATGCCCTTTTTTCATGTCAAGGAAGTTCCCTTGTATTACTAGTTTTTGAGTGGTTTCATTATGAAAGAGTGTTGGAATTTGCCAAATCCCTAGTCTGTGTCTCATGAGATGATCATGTGTTTTTTGCCTCTCTTTGTCTCAATTATGTGGTATATTACATTGATAAATTTTTTGTTGCTGTTGAGTTATACATGCATTTCTAGGATAAGCCCCACTTGGCCATGGTGTATAAACCTTTTAAAATCCTGTTGGATTTGGTTTGTTAGTATTTTACTGAGGATTTTTGCATTTATATTCTTAATGAGTATTGGTCTCTAAATATCTTTTTATGCATGTGATGTTGTTATCTAGCTTTGATATAAGGGTAATGCTGGCCTCACAGAATGAGTTAAGAAGTATTCCCTTCTCTCCTAGTTTTAGAAGACTTTGAGGATTGGTGTTAATTCTTTCAAACATATTTGGTAGAATTAACTAGCGAAGTCATCTGGTTCTGGACTTTTCTTTGGAGGTTTTTGATTACTGACTGAATCTCTTTACTTGTTATACTTATGTTGAGACTTTTAAAAAATCTCTTATAAATTCGCTTTAGGCAGTTTGTTGCCAGGAAGTTGTCTGTTTCATCTAGTTTATCTAATTTATTGGTGTACAATTGCTCATAGTATTCTTTTATATATATATTTTTTAATTTTTGTAAAGTTGGTAGTAATGTCTCTACTTTTATTTTTAATTTTAGTTAATTGTGTCTATTCTCTCTCTCTCTTTTTTTTTGGTAGTCTAGCTAGAGGTTTGTCAATTTTGGTGATCTTATCAATGAACCAACTCTTTGGTTTCCTTGATTCTATTGTTTTCTCTTCTCTCTTTTATTTATCTCGACTCTAATATTTATTATTTCATTCATTTTTCTATTTTAGTTTGCTCTGATTTTGCTAGTTCCACAAGACATAAAGTTAGGTTATTGATTTCAGAACTGTCATCTTTTAAAAAAATATAGTCATTTACAGTTATAAAATTATTTACTACCTTCACTTCATATCATAAATTTCATATGTTTTGTTTCATCTTCATTAATCTCTAAATATTTCTAATTTCCCTTGTGGTTTCTTCTTTGACCTATTGGTTGTTTAAAATGTATTGTTTAATTTCTGCATATTTGGGGATTTTCCAGTTTTCCTTTTGTTATTGATTTCTAATTTCATTCCATTTTGGTGGAAAAGATACTTTGAAATATTTCAATCCATTTACATTAATTAAGACTAGTTTTGTGGTCTACCATAAGATCTATCCTGGAGAGTATTCCATATGCACTTGAGAAGAATGTGTATTCTGCTGTCGTTGGGTGGAGTATTCTACATGTGTCTGTTAGGTCTAGTTGGTCTATAGCATTGTTCAAGTCCTCTATTTCCTTATTAATCTTTTGTCTGCATGTTCCATCCGTTATTTAAAGTGGTGTACTAAAGTCTCCAAAAATTATTGTAGCACAGACTATTTCTCTCTTCCACTCTGTAAATTTTGCTTCATGTATTTTGGGACACTACTGTTTGGTGCATATATGTTCATAACTGCTATATCTTCTTGCTGAACTGACCATTTTTATAAGTATATGAGGCCATTCTTTGTGTTTTGTACAAGTTTTTCACTTGAATTCTATTTTGTGTGATATTAGTACAGACACCCAAGCCCCTTTTTTTACTGTTTGCATGGAATATCCACTTCCATTCTTTCAGTTTTGTCTTTGAATCTAAAGCATATATGTACAGACTAAAGTCAAGATAAACCATATACAAATGCTTAGAAGTGTTTTTTATAAGAAGAAAATTATTTAAAAACTAGCAGAACACATAGGTGCATAGTAACATGTTTTAGTGTCATCAACTAAGATCAATCCTATTTTTATGCATGACATTATTTTTAAATTAAAAAATCAAATGTCTGTCTTAAACAGTATAGTAAAAGTGTAGCCAGGAACATTCTATGAGTAGAAAGTAATGACTGGAGACTAGTGGTATGATCCATTAAAATGTATAGCAAAAATAATTCTTGGCCGGGCATGGTGGCTCCTG